TTCCTAACCAGAACCTCAGCGTTTGCTCTGTGCAGATTCAGCACTGGAGTGTGACGCCAGCATAATCCGCAGAGACCGAGAGGGAAGAACATGCTGCGTGCAATCCATCACAGAGCGATTACAAAAGCTGTATCCTATCCGAGACTTTATTTTACCGTTGCTAGGGCTCGGCCTATAAACAGAGTCAGCTCCAGCCTCATTTATTTTAAGTATTTGCTACAGCTGGAACTCAACCATGTTTGGGTGTCTAGCCTAAGCAAGCTCTTATTTGCAAGTCTCCCACAGAGAAAAGGCCGCCTCAGTGTAGTTTATAGCCCGGCTTCACATTCCACAGAAGGGGGAGACATGCACGAGACAGTCCACATATGGTTAACGAGTGCTAAAACTAGAAACAAAAACCACAACACTTCCTCTTTACCTTGATGTCGTCTGTCTGCCAATGCTCCATTTTTGGAGTCAATTAGAAGTCTAGAGACAATGTCAGGCCTACGCTGGAAGGAAGTCTATATCAGAAGGCAGTAAAGCTACCCAGAGACTGATGATTCAGGAGCCAGATCCTCTCACCAAATGATCTTACAATGATGCAGTGTAACAAAGGCCCCATTGGGAAATGTGCATTGCGCCAATGACAAAAATAAAGCGCCATTTCTCAGGGGAAATTTTACCTAAAATATTTAACCCAATACAGTCTAGTCAGGTAATGTGCCGGCAGACGTTCATTGTGATCACTACTACAATACACTTCCCATATTGTGCAGGAAAAATGTAACTTGTTAGCATTGAGCCTGCGCTGTATAAGACATTCTACACCATGTGGGGGGAACCCCCACACCCCAAAAAACAATAGAAGTCACCAGCACTCAATACGTGCGAGAAGTATAAGCACTTTTATTGAATTGTCCCTTGCGTCATACAGCCAACATTTCGGGGCCACGCAGGGTCCTGAAACTTCTATTATGGACTGCATCTGACACGGCGCCATCTGCGTTGTCACTTCAAGCACCAAACTTTGGTGAAGGTCCATGGGCTGTATGGAGTGCAGGTGACATTTCGATATGGAGGGGAAAAAACCCCCCAAAAACGTCCATTTCTACTAGTAACCTGCACTTTGGAACTTCAAATTGAAAAGTACAGATGATTTCGGGTGGAGAGCTCCTTTAGGCCCCTTTCACACAGGCTTATCAGGAGAGGATCTATGCATGGATCCCCTCCTGATCAGAGGATAAAGGGAGCGGATGTGTCCATAGTTTTTTTTTTCTCCAACATGCAATGGAGGAGAAAACTGAAACC